GTTTTTGCGTTGACTTTATACTTATCACAAAACATTTAAAGAATAACAGCACAAAAATATGTTAAATGGAAATTATATAAGCATTGATTGCTTGGCTGACAGTGTTAATAGAAATTTTTGCATTGAACAAAGGCAATTTTAAAGGTGCTGTATGTAAGTTTTTGACTCTACTAAAGCATAAAAATACCATAATATGTTTGCAGATATTTAAGAAACATGCTAAGTTAACATACTTGTTTATCTGAAAAACAATGCTACAGTCAGTTATTCTCCTTTGAAAATGTGGATTCAGGGCCGGAATGTCGGTCTCTGTTTTGGTTTGTGAAACCCGCCCACTGCCAGTTTACCCAATTGTATTTCGGCACCCCGGGTTGCCAGTTGGCGGAAAACACAGCGTATTTCATTTCATTCATCGTCAAGTGCGCTCGTTCCTGTTGGTGTCGTCAATCTGGCAACCTGCGTGTGCATGAAGTCTGAGGAGGAGGGGCCCGGTGAAAAAAACCCTCTCCAATATTTTGAATTTGGACTGTAATACCTAGTTCAACCACTCGGTGTCAATGCTGCATACAGCACTTTTAAGCATGAAGGTTCAACACCTTAACACAAACCTATTCATTTCAATTAGAGAGGCTCAGCTAAAGAAACTCACGTTTTGCTCAGCCAGGGAGTACACAAGCTGAGGAAGAATGTCTCCCTTTACTACAGCCTCAGCCAGGTCATCGTTATAGTTGGCAAGCCTTCCGAGAGCCAGAGCTGCTGTCTGCTGAATAGTTGGGACTGCATCCAAAAGGAGAGGCCTCAAAAGGGACATTACACCTAAGCCAAAGAGAGTGAGCACATTTGTGCAGGGGAGAAAACAGGAGTGGAAAGACACTTGAGAGCAGATGAGGGGAGGATATACTTTCAAAGATTCAAATCATATAATAAAATATATATAAACAAAATGTTCTTCTAAGTTCCAAAAGGTATCAGGGTAAGCATGAGCATATGTATTCCTTATTTCTGTAATACTAATTAAAAATGTAACTTGTTGACTTCTTTTGAAAGACATTTTGTCTGGAAACATTCATTGTACTGTGTTTGGGAGAAAATTAAAGATACTGATTTAGATCCTTGTACAAAGAAACATTTGCAATGGCCTCTTTTCCCCCCATCAGTCCTGACTGAGTGTTGAAAGAGTTTAAATAAATACGTTTCTTCTCTACATTGTAGGTAGGGATAAATCGATCAGTCAATCCATTTTGAATTTAGTTGAGTTTTGTTAAGTTTGGAGTTGAGTAACTTTTGTTTAAAAAATGTAAAATTATATTTAAATGATTAAATTCGAAATTTTATATACAAGTACAAGCAAATATAACATAGTATCTACATACAAGCAAATGCCATAACACACTTCATGCAGAAACCTCCCTTAAACAAAATAAAAATTTTAGACACTCACCTGCATTTTGAAGTGTTTCAGTATTTTGTAGTCTTGCTGCAAGATCTGCTACAGTTTGCACAAATTGTGTTCTTGCCTTCTGGTACTGCTCAAACACTGCATAATAATAATAATAATAATAGACGAAATAAGACGAATCAGTTATGCAACAAACTGCAAAAGTAAGCCACCACTAGCAGTTTTAATTCATGTTTTAAATTTCTAACGTATTTAAGGATCTTACTTTCTCACCTTGCAAAATCTGTCGTTGACTCATAACGCGAGTATCCCAAATCGGAGCAAAAACGACAAAAAAAGCTGCGTGAATGCGACAAAAATGTACATTTAAGCTTCCATTAGGAAACAGCTTTTGTTGTGACTGAGTTTAGAGGCGTGCAACTGTTGTCTTGGCAACAAACCGGAAGTGATATAGGCACCGCGTTTGTTCGGTGCGTTTGCTGTCAATGCTTATCTAATGATACGTGCTGAAACACGCATATATGTTCAAATCAGCACCAGTGTCGCATGCAGTTTATGTCCAGATGTAATAGCGGGTTAAATAATCCCTAATTAGATTGGGATATTAAACAAGATTTCAAAAACGGTCGATGAATGTGGGATATCGGGACAGAGAAGCTGCGAGGCCGAACAGCTGCCCCCACTTTAGTTTCATGGTTACCGCAGAGACAACTGCAGTCACAGCAGCACTGATATTTAGTAATTACTAGTCTTTACATTTGCACATTTTCTTTAAATAACTTTCAGAACAGCAAAGAGTGCTTGCTATAGTTCTTGCATCATATAGGCAAAAATGTGTCTCGTCGAACAGAATACAAACTTTCCGTAGGCTACGTGATTGTCCATTTGAAAGTTGTCGCTCTAGTCTATAATTGTAATATGATGATGTTATGATGTTTCACGTGGTCACGTGTGTTTGACCGCTGTCGGGTTATCTTAAAAGAGATGTGGTTTGTAATTAAAAGACGCATGATTTGCAGGAAGCATGGTGTGGCTTTAAGTCTGCCTGCAGTGAATTCATTAACCCACAAACACTGAAAGAAACGCACTTAAAGGACAAATATGACAATTATTGTTTAATCCTCCTCAAACTTTAATAATGCGGCAATTTGAGCTTGTTACCATAGTTATGAATTCATAATTTCTCTTTCATATTTTATTGTTGTCTCTAAGCGTATATGTTTCTAACATGACTTGGCCAAGCACTTAACACACTGTGTAGGCTATTAGAAACTATTTTGTATTTAGTTATATGGGCTTTACATGGTAAAATCTAAGCTTGTCATTTAGGTTGTTATATCTGAACCATTATGACAAGTAATCAATTCATAAAGATTATCTGACCGGTAAACTGACATATCAAACAAACTGGGCTTTTAAACGCCAGCTCAAAAGAGTTTATGCCACTTCTTTAATGCCACTTCTGCCAAGGAATGGTCTCATAATGAGCAAGGCTTTTCAACGAATTTGTGTATAAATACTGTTGAATTTAAATTAAGAACAAGTGGGCCTACATTTATTCGTAAGGTTCATCATGACATCAGCCAGGGCAAGGCGACGTGAGCAGAGAATATTACATATTTGGAAAAATAAACTTTGCCAAAATTGTTCTTTATTTTTACAAAGACAGATTATTTGGAATGTCACAAAATGAATGTAAAGAATATCCACTATACTAGCCTTTGCTCATTCACTCGTAAGTTCATCAACATCACTGGTGATTTTCTTATGTCTTGTTTATTCTATAATAACTTAAGGAATTTATAGTATTAGTAAAGGTCCAAACATATTTTTATAAGCTGTTATCGCTCTGTAACTCTGAATGGGGAAAAAACACCTTGAAAGACATTCAGTCAGACTACTCATGGAAGTCTCAACACCGACAAATGTGCCCACTGAGAAACTGCCTTATTCTACAAGATTTCTACAGTCTTCTAAAGACCATGTCGACGTACCAGATTATTACTGAAACTGTCAACTAACCTACAAATATGTAACAGATGAACTACATAACCCGTTAAACTAAATAGCTTTCATTACCTGAGTATATCAAGTCAGGCTTTCCTCACCTCACGGAGAGATTCACCGGCAATTTTTTTCTAACGACTGACTTACTTTCCACAAAAAAGGTCTGACTGGGTACTTTGCACAGGCTAGTTATAAGCTTGTCATCTGTTTGAGCTATACAGTTCGTGAAGTCTTTAGCACCTACCTCACAATACCTTCTTCGCAATAGACTTTATGTCAGATGTATTTGACCATAAATTAACCAGATTAACTACTTCAAATTTATTACCAGTTTATCACACAAGCATTTAATTGACTGCCATCCGCGCTAAAGCGTGTAGGCTATCTGTCTTTATGCGTCAATAAATAAATAAATACAAATAAATAAATTAAAATAAAAAAACACGGCTATTCTGTACTGCAACCACACTTTTATAATTATTTATTGAGGTTTATTGTCTACTGAGAGATGAGCTAATACTGGAAAGGAAAAAGGGTCCCCTTAAATAAAATTTCAACTTTTTGCACCATAATACATATTGTAGGCCTACATAAAATAAATATATTCGGATATTATGCAAATTCGTGAAGATTTTCAGGTGTATGTAGATTTCTCTCTCTTTGTATGTTTCGAAGCAGCATTAAAACGCGAGAAGGCGATTTGAAAGTGTAAAATGTTTATTTAGATGTTTTATACTGTGCAGTCACAATACAATAGCTGTCAATAGTCTACAATCGACCAATAAGACAATGAACACTGAAGACATCAAAATGTTGTCCAGAATGAGAAGTTGGGGGTATAACAGTGGCCGTTTGTCGACAAATTCGTGAATGTAATAGCTTGAAAGCAGTCTGAAAGATAGGCTATGTGCATATACAGGACTGGACCTCGAGACCAAACTGACGAACCCGAACCGGCACAGTGAAGCAAATCGTACAATAACTGCAAAAATTTAACTTGAATTTCAAATAACTTTGAATAATAAAAATTATTACGCCGACTACAACTTAACGTTGCAATTCTTAATTTTAACACGTAGTCCTAATATAGTATTTTGTCCTTTAATTTTGAACTATATATATGCCTTTCTTTGATACATTATTAAAGGCCAGAATATACCAGGAATGTTTAATAACTACCCCAGAAAAGACAAACTAAAATCAAAAGTAAATGCTTTTTATCATGCTTTTAAAGAACATTATAATACACATGTAAATTACAAACAACAGATAACAATTTGTTTAAGAAAACTGTAGACCGAAAGTAAAAAGTTTGTTCGTATATTTTTTCTTCACATACTTAACACCTCCTCATTTCTCAGTATTTTTTAACTTTGAAACATCAGGTGCATCCTGGGATCCTTTTTAAAGCATTTAAGAAGTTCCTACATATATTTGTAGAATGCTTTTCCTTCACAACAGTCCAAAAATGGATTAAAAAGTTATTTTTGTGTAGAAAGTAGGCATATGTGCATTCATCTAATCTACTAGTTTAAATAATTTAAGCTGAAGCGTTTATATATATATGTCTATATATATATATATATATATATATATATATATATAAAAGGTCGGTATAATTCAGTAATTTCTGCATTCTGAAAATGCCACAACCTCGCTCTGCGCTACACTTTGCAATCAAATGGGCCTCTAACGTTCTCACGCAAACTTAGAAATTCCAGCAATTTGTTGAATGAAGTGCGTCATTTTCACTACGTTAACGTTACATGTAGAATATATTGATAATAATGACAAAAAGAAATGGATCTACATGACACTACGTTGGCATGGAAATAGCTGGATTATATCTGGCGTTGGCTTTATCGTGTAGTCCCTCATCATCCAGACGATGTGGAAGATCCGTTCAGCGCTGTCTTTCGCACTTTGTTGCCAAAACTGAACTGTCGATTTGGGCTTGTCATCGTCGTGCAGTTAATAGGATTAGAAATATGGGTGAAATGAGGTTGTGAAGGCTGAACCAGTGTGCTTGGACTCGGTAGTGGTGAGGAGGTGGATGGAACTCCAGCGGGACTGCTTGCCTTATCGCTGGCTGAGTCGCTTTCAGAGCGGCTTGTATTGTTCACGCCATCTTGTGGATGGGTAATCTTCATTTTTTTACAGCTGGGCCGCACACGGTACTTCAGAGGCAGTGGTCCATTCTATGTAATGTGCGAAAATAACAGAAGGCACCTTACTGAACGGTGTTTGCTGAACAACTAAAACGCTCAGTCCACAAATGAACGAATTATCTAAAGATAAATAAATTATCTGCTTGAATAATACACTTTGAGATTTAAGACCAAGTGTGTAAAGCGAGTCAGCAGTCAGATTTGACAGTAAAAAAAACTACTCTTCTTAGAACTTACTCTTCTCCAAGTGTAGATGTAGGCAATGTCCATTAATGTGTAGTAATCTTTCAAAGGCTCATCCTCATACATAACTTCAATCTATTTGTACAAAGAACGATAATATTAAAAAAACAAGCACCAGTCAATCAATATCACACCATAATGGACAATGCAAAATCAGCAAGTAAATAAATAACAATACCCTTTTTCTATAAAATTATTATGTGATGAAACACTGAACTACTGAACTTCTAACTTCCAACTGTAACAAAAGGATTTTAAAAAGGCCAGAAACTGAAACTACATCTGTAATAGATCACATTACCTGAAAAGTAGGAGGTATATCCATTTTGCTTCTCAGAAATTTCCTCAAATGCATCACAGTCATGGCAGCAGGGCACTGTAAGTATCTTTTATTATTAACCTGTGTGGTTAATAATAAAATAAATAATACACAAATATATTATTCAGATAAGCTTTACTATTGGTGTAATCTGTATCACCATCATTACAGAGAAAAAAAGGCTTTCAGCAACAGCAAGCACTTCTTTAATTACCTGTTCTTTTTGCTTCTCATCTTTGCTGGCTTGCTGTTGGGCCCTGAACAATAAATAGTATAATTGTTGTAAATTAAATACTAAATTGTAACTTTTCATGTTTCATGTTTATCATTAAGGATACACTCAAGAATGGCCACTTCAAGTTTATGTATTTATTTACACATGACAACAAAAATCACTTATGCAGACATATGCAAACACATACCTTTGATCAAAAAACTCAATTGACAGACTAATAATTTCATCATCTGTGATGATTCGCTTGTCTTCATCAGCAACTTCTCCTCGATCCTCATTTGATCCATTTGCAGCTTTGAAAAAAACAACAAAAGATGAATCATAGCTTAAATTTAAACAAAACAATTAGACTAAACAGTTGCACAACAGTCTATTCAAACAGCTACCCTAACAAAACCAAACTTATTTACTTATGTACATTCATTTACTTACCATCAACAGACGGGTGTTCAGCATAAAAATCTCTCCTACGTTTCATTTCATCTGCACAGAAAAATAAATTTCCAGATCAAAGCATTTGTAAATAATTACAAACAATAAACACAATCTTTTACAGTGACTGACTTACTTTTGAAAAGACCAGGAACCAACTTGTATACAATGTCCTGTAGAGTTTTGTCAGACCTGTGGGGGGAGGGGTGTTGGTCAAACCTTTTTTTTTTCTTTTTTTGGGGGGGAAAAACTAGGCACTTTAAACCATGCTGCTGCAACCAACTCAAATTCATGTTATTTCCTAATTCTCATATTAAAAGGCATGAACAGAAAACACAATAAACAGCATTTGAGATAGAAACAAACACGATGTCTTGATTATTAGATGATTATTACTATGAATAACTATTTGCAGCAAGTGGAAAGATGGAACAGACAGTGATTTTAAAGGTTACCGAATATTGAGAAGTGGCTTTGTTTTGTGGACCTGTACATCACATATGGGACAGTATTTACTGGTTTCCAGGTACCGGACAATGCACATTTTACAAACTGAGGATCAGAGAAATGTCATAGTATAAGACACATTATCTGGATGTGTTGTATATATTCAAATAAAACCACAGAAAAAAAGAGCAGCACATCTCATATACTCACAGGAGTGCAAGCATTCTATGATTGTTGTTGCATCTATGAAATATCCACCACACAAGACACACATCAAATGGGGATTGAGCTCCGTTATCTTGATCCTTGTTGTACGATGCATCGTCATGGGATGGAAACGACTCTGCAGGTGCATCAAAATAAGATAAGTTTTGCAACTACAAACAACTGCCAGAGAGAAACCAATCATGAGGACTTAATTTTGTTTTTATGGGCTGTTGCGTATGAACGGAATAACAGAACTGGCGCAATTTTTAAGTCATCTCTTACACACGGGTCTTCTGTGCTGTGAAACGGCACGATTGCGATGTAAAACGAAAACATAGCACTGCACAACGCATCGGTCCTGAGGACAGTCTACGTAAATGAACTTTATGCGACGAACACGTCTTACGGTTTCTATAGCAACTAAAGCTGCGTTACATGGCAACGTACCAAGCAGCTGTAATTGAACGTTCTGCGTAGAATAGCGTGAACGCGCAAATTTCGATTTAAAACGAAAATCTCGGCCATTAAATATGTTAACGGTCTTTCAAAATTACAGTGCATCTTAAAACCTCGCATAAATAGCTGGAATAAAAGACTGAACAGCCATTGATGATGCTGATCTCCGCTTTGCTTTGACAGTCTCTCCCTCCTGGATCACTAATGTTGTTGCAGTCGTTCATTGCCCATGAATGCACCTTGCATTAAAACTGATACCCATTTGACATCATGACTATCGTCATACGTTGCTAATGCTATGTATGAGGCTAATTTCCGTTTGTCACAAATCCTGTTTTTGAAACACCTTGCGTCGGGGCATTCACTGAGAGCCGAAGGCAAGTGCTACGAAGTGCTGAAGAAGCTAGAGTAAGCAATAACTGTCAACAGTACACAAGTGACTACATGTAGACTCTCGTGCTGGATGAAGCATACCAAAAGTAGGTTATCGCCAGTAGTTAAAAAAAAAAAAAGCGTTTTATTTATTATGTAACTTGCTGTGAGATAATCATACATTAAAGGGTGATGTCATCTAGGTATGATAATTTCATATTAAGCCATCGGTCTATACAAACGATTTTAAGAACACGCCAGAAAAACCAAGCATCTGACACTAATTCTGATGTTATTTCACGTGAGAGGATATCAAAACATAGTATGAAGAATGGCCTATATACTTCTGTAAGACAACTTTAAAAACATCATCAATCTACAGAGGAATAAAATTTCAACCTGTGCCCTTGCTTATTAAATAAATAAAGGCGTTCATGATCTAACATTTAATTAGTAAAACATCCACCAGTCAAATAGACCGCAAATACAGTGCTGTTTGTTCTCACCACTGCTATATATGTAGGCTCTAGAATAAATAACTGTAAAAAGGAGGAAATGACCCTTATACATTAATTGTGCCAGAAATGACCCTTATACATTAATTGTGCCACGTGAGAATGTGCGAGTTTACAAAGCCTATATCGATTAATACAGGTAACGTTACCATAATGAAATTCCACCTGATTAAGCAGATGACAGAAGACTCGAAATGTTGACAGACCGTGTTAAAGTCATCAATATTATAAATAACACGTAACTTTATATTTAGCTCTGACATTCACAACTACAGGGAGTCAGAACAGTGATTCTATTTTAAACAAAATTAGTCACCCAAGTCTCAGGTATACAAATTGCGGTTTCTACATCAAGACGCATACGCGCAAGTGAAAAACCTTGTTATTATTAATAATAATAATAATAATAATAATAATAAAGAATTCTAAAACAAAATGCCGACAAAGTTCAATAGCCTACTAAATCATATTTTGTTCTTGACGTGACAAGCCACAGAAAGGCTTAGCCTACATTACAGTAGATATATAAATACGCGATTACTTATTTTTTGAGCTTATTATTTTTTATCTGAATGGTAAAGTACAGTACTTCGACAAATGTGTTTGTCAAAGTCCAACAAAATGATATAAGAACCATTCAAACCTTGTGTAAGCCAGGTTATCTAAGCATCCTTCAGGTCAGTTGGACAAATGAAAGAAACCACTAAAAACATTTTAAATACGTGAAACGAGTACCTGAGTTTATGAATACTTGTTCTTTTATCAACCACACATCATCCGTGTAGTGAATGTTTGCTGTCAACCGCTGAAAGCTTTGTCCTGTATCCGACAACATGGACACGTTTAGGTTACAGTGTAAATTTAAGTTAAGAAAACACACAAATAGGTACAATTCAGTAAAACAACGAGTTTATCCGGTCGTAAACATCATACAGATTGCATATCTATAAAATCAGATAACTGCTCAAAGTGACAATAAAAAGAAAATCCTTTAGAATTCAGCCTCACATGAACAGTCGACCCGTTTCTACGCGATTTCGCGTGCACATCAGGATTCATTAAAAACAAAACCGTTTCATTTAGCCAGAAACCCCAAGCAAACATAATGATGCCAATAACTGAATATCGTACAACAAATCAGAAATCATTCGTACAGACAGGATACGATATTACTAGATAAAATAACTCAAATCTATAAGCACGCGGAGAGACGGAGCCAGTGTTGCGTACGCGAGCCTGTCAGTTCCCGCATCTACTCTAACACACGTCTCCATTTTACGCTCACAAAAACACAGATGCATTTAGAGCACAGAGTGTGAAATTAGACATTTGTAAGGGAAGATATCGAAGAACACATACCTTACTGAGCTGGAGCGAACAGTCGAGCCTGGAGGTGGTTACAGACAATGAAAGTTAGTCGATCAGTAGAAAATGAATACGAGCCAAGCGGCCATCTTGAAAAGGGCTGCAGACGCTGTCAATTGCAATAAGAGAACAGCGGAGCAGGGCGCGTTTCAATAATAATAAAAAATAGAAAAGGTCCGGTTGTGATGTGCTCGGTTGCAGATTTGTAAGCGCTCTTGAATGTAGACCTCCCGCCAGTAAAACGGCCAGGCTGATGTGCGTTTTCTCTAGGCTAGCGCCTTCAGTCTTCTCTTCGAAAAATGCTGCGCTGATGGTTCAGTGGAAACTGACACCGTCCCCAAAATGGCTTGTAGTTCGACCGCCCCGTGCATCACGTGATCTAATTCCTTAAGGGTGGCCTGAGAATATGTGTCGGTGTATTCAGCGCTGCTCGCGTTCAGCAAATAACAAAGAAATGTGTTTCAAAGGTTCTTGTAGGTCAGTTTTGAACCGTTTGCAACTTTTCTCTGCAAAAATCTCTATCCCTCAACGGTTTTGAAGAATGTAATTCATAACGGAGACATTATCAACTTACCATAAAACCAGAGTCACATCTATTCAGACAGTATGTTAAACTGAATATCGCAAAGGCGTTGAGGAAGCAGTTCATACATTAGCCAATCACATGTTCAGACATAGGCTATATGCTACCTAACCCGACAGTCTGTTCTAAATTAATTCATGGTGGTGAATAATGCAGAGGGCAGTACACTGTAAGAAATCTGCGCACGTTCCACTTATGGCCGGGAGTTCCCTATAGAAAATAAGTGCCATTTTGCTGCTACAAATATGACTCAATAATTTCGCAGAGGAACACAACCATTCCGCATATTCTCATTACCTTCAACGTATTATAAAAGCCTGTCCTGGCCCTCAACCTTAAGAATTTCTACTTTCTATAGCATATATAGACACAATGCGTTGCTTGTATCAGTAAGGGGATCCAGAGGTCAGACACTATTGTCGCATAGTTGTGACAAATGTCGTTTTCATCAGAAACATGCGTTTATCAACAAAGAGCGCTGACTGAGCTTTAAAACATAATTACACAAAGGCAGGTTTACTTATATCAAAGTGATTTTTTTATTGTAAAATTTATGAAAAGAAGCTACAGAATAGTCGATATATGCAAGAAGAAGAACAAAAATTGATGGGGCACTGCGTCCCGAAGGAAAGACACGTTTGTCGCGTTAATCTTCGGCATTCGAAATGTATTGATCCAGGAATCAAGACTGGGTTGCCCTCTCGAGACTTTTTGCTGCGTCCTTCATTTTTCCAACCAAATCCTATACACAGTTGAAACAATCCAGATTACCAACCAGTAAATACGTGCACATGTTAATTCCCACCTTTATTTCACAAAGTCACATTTCTGTATTTGAGGGAAACATCAAATTTAAATTATACTGCAACACTGTTATTGTAATATAGTCTTATATTCAGTTTATGCGGTAGTCTTATGCCAAAGCACTCGTTCATTTAAAGAAGGTCAATTGGTTGTCATCGTAAACCTCACAAGCTTTAAGTTTTACGCAAACAAGTTAATAACGTTATGGATTAACACCCTTAAATGAGAAAACAGCTATTTTATTTTTTTTTAACTCTTTTATTGGATTTAACAGTCAATCAGTCAACCGTGATCAAATGAAAATACATCGATTTCGTCAATTTTATTTTTACGCAGTGACATCATGGTTTCAGTCTGCTAAAACTTGTGGGTCGATTCAAAATGTAAGCTACTGAGATATGTTACATGATTTGACCATGATTGAGTGCATGAGAATTTTATGACTATCTTCCGGACAATTCACCTTTGTGTCACCCCTATGACAAACACAGGGATCTGTGTAATGACTAAGATAATAAAATTGCTAAGCAGGCTTTTCCAGAGGAAGAAACCCAAAGTTTGCATTTCAATTTCAGCTGTAGCTTAAGACAGAATTAACGAGTTATATCAATTAACAGTCAATAATAATAAAAACTATAGATAACTGTTTCATTATTTATTTCACGTCTCAATTGCGTCTGTATGTGTTTCTTTAGACCGGACTTCTTGTAAAATGAGGATGCCCATACAAAATGTAACTGTAGGAAGATAAAACAGCCTCTATATGGAGGCTCTTCTGCTTATGAAATAACATGACTCAAACAATAAAACCGTGTATTTTACCCAGGCCTTAAATAAAACCTCTTAATCAGCGAAGTAAACCATGTCATGTTAAATTGTCTTTAATAATTACTTGAGGATAAAGCAAAATAATGATCATGCAACTTTGTCGTTTTCAATAAATACCTGAAGTTGCTCCATGGTGCAACTAAAATTAATTTCCGAAGAAGCGCCAGCCCTCTGCAAAAGTAACCAAAATTTATTCAAAGTGAAGAAAATAACAACAACAATTCCTGGACATATAGCTATTAGCCTATTTATGTATCTACAATTACATACCTCGGTGTTTAAGGAAATCAGGTATGACGGCTGATTGACTTTATGTACATGACTATTCTGCCGAGAAAAACAATGGTTATGAGATAATGAAGTATTGGAAACTAACTACTTTATAGAAACAACGTACCTTTATACAATACTCAAGACGCCATTCAGCATCCGTTACATGGGGAGGACATGTATCAATGCTGAGGAACATAAAAGATGATAGTAAAAAAATTAAAAAAATTAAAAATATAGCCTATCGCTGCAGATCATACTTAAAGTTACACAGATTTTGATTTTACACTCTACAAACAGGGAAAAAGTCACTACTGAATTGGTTGTGGTAGGCTATAATTCCATCAAATAAACAGGCTACTTATGTAACAGAAAATCTATACATACAATTTCTCACCTTGATAACAAAGATTCCAATTTTCTTTTGTTTTTCTAAAAGAAAATAAATGTTTAATATAGCCTACTGTAATGCAACTGTAATTTCATTCAGAGGAAACAGATCAATGGCATACAAAACATTAGCCTACCTGGAATGAATTATAAAATGTGTCCACTCTCTCATTCAGGAACTTGGCATCCTCAAGACATGAGCTAAAACAGTACACGACATTTTTAGAATGGAAAAGTCAAATAAAGTGCTAAACAGTTTTATATGATCTTAAAAAGACCATTTCGGATCATGTTACCTAATTGTTGATTTATCTGCATTCTGCTTAACTCCTTCCAGAATGAAGGTCGTTGCCGCCGTATGACAGTGTTTCAAGGTAGTCTGGTCAATGTGCTTCAATTCTGGGTGACCTGCAAGAGATGAAATTTGCTTTCGTGCGTTGTTTTGAACTGAGTAAACAATGCTTAGACAATTCAAACGTACAATTATTTGACACGCCAATTTAGCACATTAATTACAAAAGGAGAAAAAAAGAGACAAAACATTAGCGGATAACTAGAGCAGATGAGTTAATATCTACTGTTTTTACTTAGATGAAAGACATGCAGGCTACCACATGAAAGCGTTTGGCCATAACCAAGTAAATATTCATAAAACCTTATACACATTTCAGTTCTTAAAAAAGAATGGAGTGGTTACCACACCATAGCATAGCTAATTCGGCTAAGCGGATGGTTCTTTATTGTACACTACACTGTTAGCACAGGATGCAAGCCACAAGCAGGGATGGCGAGCACAGTCTGTCAGCCCTTGCATAGCTTTAGGTGACATATAATATGTGAAGCCTTAGAAAATAACATCAGCAAGAAGACACAGCGCGGCGCGACTTCCTTCTTGTCTGGAAAGCACCGGAAGTAATGTAGCACAAAGAAGAAAAAAAACTCAACCACCTTACCTAGAACGCTTTCGCCTCGAGGGGAGACCAGACTGTCGAATGCGACCTCCGTGAATATCGTAAATGATTTCTGGTCGAACACAGTTGGATCGGCCAGGGTTTGAAGCCCTTTCATCACTGATTCCGACAACTCCATTTTGAGCAGACTCGCTAGCCTTGGTCACATGATCGCGTCAGCTGATCTCAGCACTTGAATTGTCGGAGAACAGAGACACTGATTCACAACGCAAAGGCCTATATACTTGCTGTTTTGCATTATATTATTGACATATAACCAGGATAAAAGCACTCGCATATAAATGGTTGTCAGCGCGACTCTAGCGAGATTCCGCATTTTCAGTAGGCTACTGCCTGCTGACAGACGTTTGTCTGGCGACACATGCAGCGCATCCGTATTTCTACTGCTGCATAACCTGTCTTTATATTCCAATTTATATTAGAAAGATTCTTGAGCAGGTAGAATTCTTAAATGCCTTAGCGCAGCTTCCTTACTGCTTTTTGATTCAACAAATTAAATACCGCTTTCAGTCACCTCATAATTTGTTAAGCGACATAAGATATCCTGTAGCTATTTGTCCACTTGACACGCTCAATTCTGACGAGCGACGGCAGCTCTGGCTGTTACTCTGCCTCCTTTGGAAGATAAACCTTATAAGTTCCTCTTAAACTACCTTTTTTGTTTTACTACAAAAAATATAACATATTGTTTTACAAAATATAGAAAAATCTATCTACTTTTAACCATAGTTTCCAAAAGCAATGATGGAAGAACTGAACTTTTGCAAAGCGCAACCTCCTTCAACTTTTTTTAAATTACATGGCTTTACAGCTTGTCCCGCTCTTAACCATTTACACCCTTTATAAAGAAAAAAGTTCTTTATGTCACATGGGTTCTTCAGATTAGTGGTTTCTGCGTTCTTTAAGACACAAGTAACTCTAAACACTCAAATTTCTCGTACGACATCCGGTTGTAAATTCTATTTTGGCTCTAAAGGGAACCTTTAATTTGTGTAGTGGTTAATTACAAATCAGCTTTAAAATATTAATTCATATAAATGTTGCACTAAGTTAGTATTCCTATAATATAAGAATATACCCGTAGATGTTTAGATATATAATAGACAAGTGCAAAATATTTTACTATGTATATAAACACGATTATTTAGTCTCTTTATGTTCAAGATTTCCGAAGCAACGTTCCAATTTGATTAAAAAAAGAAGAAAAGACAAGGTTAGACAAAAGTTTGCAGATGATCTGCTCTCCATAATGTGGAGAGAATCTGGGGTGTTCATCAAATTAGTTGTTTATTATATTTAATCTTTTTTTGCCAACAAAAAATACTGAACGAATGATGATGTCCTTATATGTATTTGAATGTTTGTTCTCTTACATTTATTTATTATAATTTTTTTTATTTCGTTAATTCATTCATTCGTTTAGCCCTACATTAAATATTCATTAAAGTACAAACCCTTAACGAGATATAATTTATTATATAAATTATTTTTTATTTATTTTTATAATTATATATAAATATTAATTTATTTATTATTAATTTATTATTCTATCATTTAGTAACATTACACTTTTAATGTATAATGTTTTATTTTTATTAATATATGTTTGGTCGACCATTTTCTCAAACTGCATGCGATATCAAGACGTTATACAATAAATGATAATATTACGGGTGTTTTATAATTTTTTCGAAATTTATCTTTTTTTAACATCGGATAACATAACATAACATGCATGTACTCGGGTAAAAACATTTTATAAACCTTGCTTTGCAACTTTTTGATATTTGAAAGAAGCCTTAAGATTCTTTAAAAAAAAAATCCTTTGATTTTATGATACGCAGGTGCAGGCTATTTGCGTTATCACCCCGAGGTCAAATGGCTTAGGCTATAGAATTTGCATGATGACCCATATTAACCAGTTTTTTTTTTTGTTAAAGAAGCACAGCAAATGTAGAAGAAAAATAAAACAGTCTTATTAAGGTCATTGCTCTGTTGTCAGAATGGGAGCTTCGAGCACAATTTTAAGGCTAAACTGCAGCCCGAACATAAACTGTCATTATAACATCGTCTGTCTGTCGACCTTGTCATTTCAGAGGAAGTTGCTCACAGTCACTTCACGACAGCAGTTAAACGCTTCCAGTCACTGAAGAATACAACAGGAAAAGTACCAATAAAGCGTTTCTAAAAGAATTTCAATATGCAATTCAGCTAGCTGAAGATATATATTTTCGAACCCTCAAACAAAACAACGGCCATTTTGGGTAATGCCCATGAGATTGTGCAACAAAATGGATGTGACGTGCACTTATTAAGTGTTTCATAGAAACAATTTCAGATACCAAACAACCAGCTGTTAACTAGGGGGATCTTTAGCAGCAAATGTTTAGAAGAAAGTTCATGCGAACTGAGGAAAACTATGTTTAAATTAACCTTTTGCTCCACTGGTGCTTTTTATTAGGGGGAGGAGATATGTAATAGCTATTAGCCTACTGTTATGGGCTGTTTTTAAAATAACAATTGTATTGCTTCGCCATTTTCTTCACAGCATATAGGCTAGCAAAAGCTCTAGGGTCAACAGAAGAGCATATAGCAAATTATTAAACATATAGCAATGCTTTAGAATTATTATGAATATGATCCAACTAATATACTCGAGTTGAGAGAACATTGGCACTATGAACAAGGTAAGTGTAAAAATGTAAAACCGAAAGATAAAATATCCTAAAGTCTGACCAATTTTATTTCGCTTGGTACTGCAGTGTTTCTTTGAAATGAAAAGGCATTGTTCGTTGAGGTTGCATATCTATTTGTTGCTCCTTTTTATTTGAGAAATTTCGTAAATGATAATTAATAGTGTTAAACCACAAATTGAAGTCAACAAATATTTAGTTTAAATGTAAAAATTCGTTAAATCACTGAATTAAATGTGTTTTAACTACGCTGCTCTCCTATCTGAAATTAAGCTCTTAAGTCTCTCATTTAAAGAGATAAGCAATAACATTCAACACTATATACGAGATCCTATATAAATAAACAAAAATAGGCTAAACAAAAAAAAATAAAAGCCATTTTAATTTTTTTTAAATAAATTAAAATTTATTTGAAAAGCAAATAAATAAATTATTGATTTATTTATTTTGCTTTTCAAACATTTCAAACGTTTCGCGTGACAAAGGTGTTGTAATAAAGGAATCATGTGTTAGGCCACGTACATATTCACAGTCAAGATTGATTTTTGACACTTCATCTAACATTTATATAAACTAAAACCAAGGAATTAGAGTGTGTTACAACTGCTGCGTTTCTGATAATATACACTTGTATAGTAGCCTATGACAATGTAACTAATCTTGAAGTGGCTTGATTTTAGGTTTCTCTAATAAGATCATCTATAATTAGCATTCAGGGGAAAACAATATTTATAGAATAGATGTTAATTGTTTAACAGGAAGATAATGAAGAATAAGAAAAGAGATAATAATAATAAGATAAATAAATAAAAAAACAAAAATGAATCCAGGAAGAGGAAGAAAAAACATATCAGAAACAAATACTTTTCAGATAAAAATGAGATTTATGAATACCAAACAGGTTAATTTAAAATGAATTTTTACAGTTTGTCTGTCAATGTTGTAAATTTAATCATTTAACTAATATTTACCAAATTAATTCTGTAAAAATAAATAAAACAAACTGCAAAGCATTTGTTTTGTATGATTTTTATTTTATTTATTTATTTCTTTTATTTTTTTATATGTCAGAATAGCTGCCAGGACATCTCTCGTGAGAACAAAAGAGTCAGTCAACTTCAACAGCATAAAATGACAGGACCGTCGATCATCGGTGTAAAGATAAAGAAAGTTGGCTGCATTGTGAGGTGGGAAGGGAAGACCAATCATTACGTCTCCTTTAAGACACGTGAGAGGGAAGTTTCGTTATTTGTTTTGTTCTTGAAGGAAATCATGTCAGTTCATATGCGACCGTTGGCACTAAACATGAGCATCATGTTATTTTAAATATAAGGATGAAATGAGGACACGTCTAGTTCTTCACAATGTTCTTTGAATCGTCAATGCACATCGCCAAACCCAGTTGTTTGGTGAATAAAAGTAGGCTAAATACAGAAAATGCATGTGAGGAAACGTTAATTGTTACCTCTGTAATTGTTACCTTTTTCGAGATTAGAACTTTGCTTTCATTTGCACGTACAGATGGCTTATTTAAATGTGTCATATGATCTTGTCCTCGAAAACGCAATTCCCACGATCCTCACGTAGCTAGATTTTGTGAAGACCACTGTAAAGTGGTCGAAGACAGATGAACACATCTTGTAGGCGCAACACCGCATTTCGCTATAGCCTCAACTCACAATAATCCTGTTTGCTTTGGCAACGCGTTTAACTCCGGCTCGTTAGGGCTATTTGTTCACTCACCACTTGCAAAGGCAAAGGCTGAACGTATAATAAAATACACGTTTGCTCACTTCTCACTGATACTACTAATGACTTTGTCCCCTCCATTTTACAAGCCGCTGTGTTGCTTCATCCTGTGACTGTGGGCAGTTTATTAGTGAGGTTTGAGAAATCCTAACGGCTCTTCATGCCAACCCTTGCTCTAGCTTATTCAGTGTGGGCACAGGGCCAAAAGTTAGTGCCGTGAGTCTCCGCCCTTCCCCTCCAGTCCTACATTTTATTAATTAAGGAGTAAACAGATCACGAGCTGGGCGAGACTTGTTGCTTCATATCTCCGTATTAAGCCACATCATACCATGTTTTTTTCTGCATCCTATGGCTCTAGCAATCAAAAGTCAACATCTTGAAGGTTCAAGTAGCTACATTTCCGGAAACACAAAGAGGCCACCCCTCCTTTAAAGCTCAAAACTGACAGATAATCAGATTGTGTAAATCATTTTGAGAATTGTATATTGCGCATTATATGAGTTCTGCATTCGGCGCATTGTGCCACCACCGTTTTAAACAGCCTCACTGTGTTTGTTTGTGTGTGCGTGCGTGCGTGCGTGCGTGCGTGTGTGTGTGTGTCTGGACGTGGTTTCAGAGAGTGACTCTGCCCCCTATAGGAACTAAAGCCGCCTCTGTTTGTTGTGGACCAAATTTAAATCAGTCAGCTACAAAACATTTTTTCCTGCGTCCCGAATGATGCTACATGACCTATCGAGCAATCAAAAGACAACCAAATCA